TATAAGCAAATAAAAATATAAACAAAAAATTTAAAAATACAAATGGTTTTCCATAATCATACTGGGAGACTTTAACAGAATGTTTTCAGACTTTGATCAAGTAGACAAAAATATCTAGAATAGAATAAATGAATAACATCAATATCATCAGCTTAACCCAATAAATAGGGAAAGCAATTTAAAAAGAGGGAGGTATTTACAAAAATTAATTAATTCTTGACTAAGAAAATCTTCAATTAATAAAAAAAAAAGTCATATTGGCCACATATGACAACCCAAGGGTATTGAAATTTTATTTTCTTTTGTGAGTTTTTGTTTTCATGTTTTTATTTATAATTGACCCATAATTATTGTACATATTTATGGAGTAAAGTGTGATATTTCAGTAAGTCCCTGCAAAGTGTAATGATCAGATCAGGGTAGTTGGTATACTCATATATATATATTTATCATTTCAAATAATTGTCATTCCTTTTGTTGGAAACATTTAATACCTGTACTGGCTATTTTCACATATACAATTAGTTGCTGCCAATCATAGGAATCCTACTGTATTATACACATTAGAAGTTACCCCTCCCACCCAGTGGGCACCCTGTACCCATTAACCATCATCTTTTTCTCCTCCTGCTTCTCCCCACCTTTTCTTTCCTGTGGTAACTGCTATTCTGTTCTCTACTTCTATGAGATCAACTTTTTTAGCTTTCACATATAAATGAGAACTTATGATATTTGTCTTTCTGTGTCTGGCTTATGTCAATTAAAATAATGTCCTCCAGTTCCATCCATGTTGCTTCAAGTAACAGGATTTCATTCTCTCTCTCTCTCTCTCTCTCTCTCTCTCTCTCTCTCTCTCTCTGGCTGAGTAATATTCCATTGTGTGCAAATACCACTTTTTAAAATCCATTCATCTGTTGATGGACACATAGGCTGTTTTGTATCTTGGCTATTATGGATGGTTCTGCAGTAAACATGAAATGCAGGTGTCTTTTCAACATACTGATTCTATTTCTTTTGGATGTATATCCAGTAGTGGGATTGCTGGAGCATATGGTAGTTCTATTTCTAGTTTTTTTTTTGTATGTTTGTTTGTTTTTAGGAACCTCCTTACTGTTTTCCATATGGACTGTATTAATTTGCATTCCCACCAATAGTGTTTGAAAGTTCTCCTTTCTCTGCATTCACACCAGCATTTGTTTTTCATTGTTTTTGTTTTTGATAATAATCATCCTAACTGAGACGAGATGGTATCCTATTATGGTTTTGATTTGTATTTCCCTAGTGGTCAGACAGCTGAGCTTGCAAGTTGGCCTCAAGGTTATCAGGGGACCCTGAACAGGTTAGTTAATCTCTGTAAGCTTGGTTATTCTACCTGTGAGGTAGAGATGACAGTACCTACCTCACAGTTGTTAGAATTAAGTGGAAATATGTGTGTAAAGCACTTGGCTCAGTGTCTGCGTGTAATAAGGATTTAATAAACGACTGCTGAAAAAAATCCATGCAGCATCTCTTCAGTCATTTCTGGGTGAGATGATAACAGTACTGTCAGTACCTTGGTACGTCTATGCAAGAGCAAGGCAGAAAGCAGAGTTTAGATTAGCCAAGTTCTGCCTAACCGGATGAAAAGACTGGACATTTTGTCAGTGACAATTTGTGAAATATGCCAGTGGTAAGTGGTCAAATTAGTGTCTATCCATTAGAAGAAAAAAAATCTACAAAGTACAATGTTCCCAAGCAATAGTGATTCATTAGCTGGAGACCAGGTCCTAGCTCCAGGGATGGGAATGGCAGTTTTGCTACTCTGTACTTGTCCAGCTGCCCCCAGTGAGAAAGTAGAAATCCAGAGGCCTTCCCCTAACCAGGCACACTCCTCATCAGCCAGGCTGAAACCCTTCTCCCAGCCCTGCAGCCATAGTAGGCTCCTTAGACATGATAATAGATTCATGAGATCTTGGTAGAGAGACACAAAAGGAGTCCAATAGTGAGCCCAGAAAAAGTTTAGTACTCTACCTCTTTCATCTGTATTTAGGACTTGATGAGAATTTATGGTTTGGGGAAAAAGAAAGTATCTGGAGTAATTAGAAATCTTAGGCTTTTTTAATGTCTGTAGATGCTATACATCAAACCATTTTTATCATTTTAATTAATCATTTTATTTTGTTTAGTGAGGTGGGGTCAGTGGAAATAGTTCAGTGGTGTTCAGTGGTGTCCAGTGGTGCAAACAAGAGCTGATTGATGGCTTGGCTTCCTCCACTGCCAAGACAACATTGATTTTAAAGTGCATCAGCAAATTAATGACACATAAGGAAAGAAAAAAGGACACAACATGAAAAGTACACTTTAGTTCTAGGAATGTTAAAATATGAAGAAAAAATGCTGCTGCTGCTGCAGATGTGTCTTAGAATTAAGGAAATGCAGAATTTCACTCAGTTGGTATCTTGGTTTTGATGTTTTGCTGCTGGGTAGATGCTACAATTTTATGAAAGCAATTAAAACATATGTTTTATTAATATACATGGGCAGGACTAATAAAAATTGAAGGCAAATAAACATTTTCTCATGCCCATAAAGTTATTTTTTGTCAAAACAAAAATCATGGATGGTTGGGGAGGTATTACACCTGGTGAACCTGGAGCATCTCATAGTGCTGGAAAGTAAGAAATACTCAGAAACAAACAAACAAAAAACAGAAAAACACTGAAAGGAGTATGTCCAAGGAGCACAGAAACCAAGGAAAGGACTCCCAGCTCCAAAGCTGGAACAATTTGGGCAACAAAGTGGTGTTGAATTATAGCCCAAAATATAAAATAAATATCTACAAGGCCATATTGATATAAAATGATTGAAAATATCAATAAATGTGGAGAAGAGGCAGATCTTCCATGCAGAAGAATTTCAAGTAATTTATGTGGAACTCCACCCTCAAGGACTTCCTTCCAAGGAGTGTACATGGAAAGGTGGGATTGGGGGGGGCAGGGAGTGGGGACAGCCCAGCAGTAGAGAAACTGACAAACACGGCCTCAGCCCAGGGATCGAGCCCAACATCAACATTATTAAATCATACTGATAACATAGACACTTAATATGTTGTGATTAGAATAGTACATTGTTTTTGTCCTAAATAAATCATAACCCCTTCTTATTTTGAGAAAAGTATCACACAATCCTGTTGTGGCACATTCTGCAAAGGACCTCCTCAGTACTCCTCAGAACTGTCACACTCACCAAAACAAGGAAAATCTGAGAAACTGTCACAGGCAAGTGGAGCCAGGAAGACCTGGTGACTAAATGTGTTGTGGTGTCCTGGATAGGAGCTGGGAACACAAGTACCCCGGGTCAGAGCTCAGGGAGTCTAAATAAACTGTGGATGGTAGTAATAATAATGTTTCAGTACTGGTTTACTAATTGTTACTTATGCAATTTTGTATCATATTAACATTATATGTTAATTATAGGAGACTGGGTATAGAATATATGGGCATTCTATACCATTTGCTCAATTTTCTGTAAATTCATAGCTGTTTCTGAAAAAAAAAAAAAAATGAAGTCTATTAAAAAATTTAAATGCCTAAACAGAAAAACAAAAATCATAGACCAAAAGCCAGGTCAGGGATTTAAAAGGAACATTATAAAGCATTTTGTTAAGACCTTTACTAATTTAAGCAGAACAAATGCAACTGCTTGGTTGAAAAATGGAGCTTAACCCAGTGTGTGACATTTCTAAATACATTCAGATAGAATCATTATTTTTCATCCACTTAGCATTTTGCTTTTCCAAAGCCCTTTGCAATGTCTGACTCCAGGATGTTGAAGTTTTACCCTTATTCGTATTTTAAAGCTGATGCCATGTCTCTAGCTTGGACAGTCATCTTGGCTCCTGGCTAATCTAAATGTACAATTCAATCAGAAAACTAGCCATCAACTGTCAAGATGCTAAAATAGTTATGGGTATTTTCAAAGCCAGAATTGCAATCGTGTGGCAAGACTTCAGTTTGTTGTCCACAGCTCTGACTCTCAGGACTCCTTTCTTTACTCAGTGTTCTCATATGGAAAACCTCATTGGGGAATTATAGGGTAATATTTTCAAGACTTGGAACTTTTCTATAGTTACCTTGCTAAAAACCAAAAAAAAAAAAGCCCTTTAAAAGCATTTTTAAGAAAAGAATTATGCCAGGGTAGCCAAAGAGAAACAATTTTGGGGTTTCTACACTGAGTCAAGTTGTACAAATTGTAGAATATTCCCCTTGGTCCAGGACATGGTTTTACTCCCACACACCACTTCCTACATCTGCAAATTCCAGTGTGTTTGGACCCTCCTGAGAGCTGGGGAATCCTAAAAGAGGAGAGCACTGACTACAGAAACCAGAAAGCTGGCTGTGGCACCTTGGAACTTCTTGCTGAAGGGGCCCCAACTCTTTCCCAGTCTTCCCCTGTCCAGGGCAGAGAAGGGCACATCATCTGGACACCCCCTGGCTCTCTTGCCAGGCTAGTGTTGGAGTTTTTTCGCCCAGGGAGGCTGACAATACATCGGCTTTGTTTTCTAAACCAGGAATTAGGGCACACTGTCTAACATGACAAATTAGATGGTGTGTGAATTTGAAACTCTCCCACGAAGTCCAGGGTGAGTGGCCGTGGTTGCTGCAGAATCCAGAAATGTGAGCAGCAGAGACCTGGGTGTGATCCACTGATAGCAGTGACCTCCAGAGAGGAGCATGGGGACATCCTGGGAGCAGCACCATTGAGGGCTTTTCCTCAGAAGTCTGGAGGCTCAGCAGCAGTACCAGGGGCTGCCTTGATAATGGGAGAGTGCACAAGCCCCAGGCTCTGCTGTAGTGACCACCCCCTTCTCAGCTGTGGAACCTCAACCCCAGGATGGAGACCCTGGAGCTTCTCTCTCTCTCTCTCTCCCTCCCTCCCTTCCCCCCACCTTCTGCCTCCGAACAGAGTCAGAAGTGCCAAGGGTTCAGAAAGCATTCCCCCAGGGTTTATTTCCTCTTTACCTGTGTCCTGGGAACACCCAGAAGAAGCTGGGGGACCCCTGCAGAGAGACAACCATTTCTGTAGGCACAGGGTTACCCCCATAGGAAAAAGCAGCCAGGCGATCTTATCACATGCCTCTGAGTGAGTAGAGAGGCGAGTGGAAGAAGGTGCCTGTGAGGAAGTGCAATGTCACATGCAGCATTTACAGGAAGCCAGCCAGAAGATAGCAGGGGACTGAGCACTTGGCCGTTTGCAGCGGATTAAAACAACAAAGGTTAGTGCTCCCCCGCAACCACCACCACCTTTGAAAAACTTTTCATAGCTTCTGTAAAACACCTAATTGATTCTCTTTCCTTGAACTGTCTTTGTTTCTCTAATGGAAAGAAGTTGCTCTGGCTTTGAATATAAGATCCGGTGTATAGGTGGTAACTGCACTTTGTTAGAGGAACAAACATTGAGTGGCTCAATGAAATTCTCAGAACCTCTTGCTTCCCTGTTTAGAACTTCTATGCCTTTAAAAAAGAAACAGAACAAAACTTCAGATGTTTGTTAAATAACTTATTTCATGGAATGCAGCTAAGCCTCTTCTCATTTTTACTTATTAGCATAAATCTGAAACAGGACAGATCATTGCAGACATATGTGGGGTGTTGGAGCATACAGAAATACTGTGAGTAAAAACGTGCCGCAAGGCTGTATGCAAAAGTTGGTTGTTTGTTTTTATGTATTTTTCATCTTGTAAAACACATCTTTTTGGATTATAGTTCACGTTAAAATAATTTAATGTCTATAATTCTTGGGGGTTTTTTTGTTTTGGGTTTTTTGTTGTTTTTTTTTTTTTTTTTTTTTTTTTTTTTTTTTTT